AATATAAACATTTACATGTTCAAGCAAGCATTCGTGTGGACTTCTTGGTGATCAGCAATGTCCGTGATGGTACGTCGGCTGCGTTGGTCGTTTGTTCCACTCGGCGGTGACGATGTTGCCGCTACCATGGATGTACTACATCCATGGTTTTAACATGGAGCTCCATGGTTTTAACCATAGACCTTATGTTTAACGAATGGTTTTACCGATAACGATTTTATATATTTGACGTCACCCTGGCAGTAAAAATATGGGTACGGTAATGCACTTTTCTAGGCCGCATGTTCATTTTTAATCGTGTTGAAAAAACTTGTAACTTTTTGTTTGGTGGTGTTATCACCTCACGGTGACCTGCTACGATAACAAACCGGAATTTTCACAGTTGCACCTTAAAACAATGAACCAGTTACCCTGAGCACGATGAATCATCTTCGGAAGACAATGAGTGTTGGCCTGATTTGTAAACAATTCTTTGTCTGGGACCATGCAGGGCGCACAGGAAATATAACAGGGCGCTGACAATTTAAACAGGGCGCCAATTTCAGATAACAGGGCGCGGCGCCCTGTAAAAACCCCTCGTGGAGAACCCTGAGTTGCATGGTAAGACATACTTACAATAACCATTTCTGGATCATGGTAAAACCTCCACAAAATCCAAAACCACATCAAACCCATAATAGCCTCACCAGTCCAGTAGTGTTTCCTTGGTGGTACTGGTAATGCTCTATATAGTAGTGAACCACTGTGGGGGGAAAAAGTGTTTTAGTCATTAATGAGGTATATCAACGTGCTGCACAGTGTGTATGCCTAATAATAAGCATATAATTTGCATAATTTATTCATAATGTTTGTACAATGTATCACTTTTTGAAAACTGCTTATAAATTGTATTACATTTGACATTTGAGAATATTCTAGTGGTACTCAGTCAACCAATAGAAACCTCTCATTCCAGTTTGAATTGCAAAATGTAGATATTTATAAAGATGAAGGGAATATCTTTGCTGCACTGGGAGTAGATTCAGTGTTCAATACATTGAGACCTTACAATGCATTACTGAAATTCAAGAACATTTGATATACTGGTAATTACATGTATCCATAGACTTTGAACATTTCAATGTTATTTAGATTTTGACCAAATGTACAAACACACAGAACCTACATTAGATTTTGGAAATGGTTCCCTGAGGCCCCACCTTACCCCGAACCTTAACCCTACACTCCAGCCCCCAATGTGATTGTACATGCCCCTCCAAATAACTACTGTAAAACCATTTATTTTCACTGACATTTAATTTCACGAACTTGTCAGAGAAACAATAAGTTTTATTGTTATTTTACATGTTTACATTAATTTAATTTAGTATATTTTAATTAGCGAAATTAAAAACCAGTGAATAATTAATGCATTTACAGTATATGCGTCCTGACGAGATACATATACAATGTAAATGAGGGAAGGGGCACTGGAGGGGCAGGGTTAGGATTGAAGCTATGGAGCCCGAACAAACTGTTATAGAATATTACATCTCTAGCATATAGAACATGACAAGGTGGATCACTAATTATGTAACATGCGAAACAAGTATATGGTGAGGAAGTGAATGCGTAAATCGAGTGTGTTTATTTCAGAAAAGAGCAAATACTGGATACAAACATGTCACTCTATGCGTGACTGCGCCCCCACCCCCAACAAGTAGAAATATTTAGGTCTGTGCAAGTTGAAGTATAATCGTTCAAAAAAACACTTATAAATATACTAAAGGGGGCTGTTCAACTTTCTAATTTATGCAGTCCATGCTTTACAAGTATCAAGAATCAATTTATCGCAATTTCGGAAAAGGCCTACAGGACTTTACGTACGTGACCTCAGTGTGGGGTTACAGACTGCAGCACGACTACATTCTACTCGTTTTCTTGTGTACTTACTGCCGCTTTTGTTGTACTTGTGGCGCCTGCCGTCTAAGCGATCTCAGCGCCAAAACGGGCAATCTAAATCTAGCAAGAGAGGACATCCTACGATATCACTGCCAACACGACAGGATTCCAGCAAAAGAAAGAAATACGGGTCCGAGTCGGCGCACACAAAAACAGACAAAATGGCCGATACACCGGCTTATCGGCAATTGTCGGTAAAAATCGCCTAACAATCGGAAACGGAATAATTTCACCTTTGACCTACACTTGTATGTTTTGTCTCGTAGTCTAAATTGTAATTCAAATTCACTTATAAATTCGTGTTATTTTTTACTAATCCATAAAAATACTAATCGACGATTGCTGCAGTGGACAATATTATTTATTAAATATTATGCGTGTACCCATAATGCAAGGTTTTGTTGACGCGGTGTTAGTAACAAGGAACAGGACACCCTAGCAACTTGAATATTTATTTACGCTAACAGCTCGGTTCGTTTGTCCGGATAGTTAATTGATTGGATGTCGTTATGGTTGGGTCTTCGTTACCAGCGAAATATTATAGTGACCAAATCAGCCAATATTTATCCACGTAAGTCACAAGGTATAATAGAAGCGGACGACGTAATTGGGGTTGTAGATTTGGTTTGATTTGACGACAATTGTACCACTAAGTCCATAGTCAGTCCTGAGGTCGACCGTGCTGGTTTCCAAGATGGCCGCTGTTCCTGTGTTGAGGAAGAGTGGTGTTCCTACTATATTCGGGGAACTGGAAGAGAAAAACGTCACATTTCTTATTGACACATCTGGAAGTATGTACACTTATTTACAATTAGTAAAGGAACATTTACTTGAATTTCTACTGTCAAGAGCGTTCCATCGTGGCGACTGTCACTTTAATATTGTTGAATTTTCCGACCAAGTGTCACCGTGGGCAGACAGGCAAGTGAGACTGACCCCACAAACTGTTACAGTGGCGAATGAATGGATAAATAAATTGGCGTCGAAAACAGGGTCTAATATGTTAGATGCGTTGTTGGTAGCGTTTACTGACCCCGCCTGTGAAGCAGTCTGTCTTGTGTCAGATGGCTTACCGGACCAACAAGCTACTGTAATTTTACAGCAAGTTGCTTTAGCTAGCCAGGGTCGACCGCTACATGTCATTCACCTTACCGGCACACATGCTGATGTCGCTTCCTACGATTTCTTGGAAAGTTTAGCGATACAGACTGCAGGTACATTCAATGTCATCAGCGTATCCACGACTGGAAGAATCGAACAGGTTAAGGCAGTTGTTCGAAAAGACCATGCTCGGGAGAGAATTGTCACCGATGTCTACGAATATAATCCTGAACCTTTGAAAACCAAATCAGTTATAACAACTCTTGACAATCCACCCGTTTCAAGTATAAAAACATATGATCCTGAACTAAGTGATATTCCAAATACAAGCATCAAGTCTTCATTATCGAACCCACCTGTAGCGGTAACATCCACATACATTGAGAACGCACAACAGGAGCCAGTCGTAAAAACATGTAGTGTTAAAACTTCTTTAGATCATAACCCCTTCGCAGTGCCAGTCATACCTATAGATGAACCTGGAACCATCATTATCTCCTCCGATTCGGTTGTTAAGTTTCCAAACATTGCGTGGGAGACATATCGACCCCCCAGATACGTTAAAGATGTTGTCTTAGTCGATGATGACAAATTCTCAGTCACTGCAAGTACTTTGATGGTTGGAATGAAAGTTATATGTAGACATGAAAGAGATGGATTTTTTTATATTGGATCGATTATAAAACCGGTAAGTTATCGTTAAATGGTTTGTGATAAAGTGAAAAGCAGAAGGCTGTACCTTAGATTAGAATCATATTTATCAAAAACGTGTAAAAGCCAATCATCAGCTTTCTTTTAAATTAAAAAATATTTAATGGTGATTGGCTTGAAGAGTTATTATTTAAAATAAAGTGCTTGCTGATTGGATGGTATTAAAAAAACTCATTAATATTAATAGTTGTTCAACAGTTATTTTGATCTTTGTTTATAAAATGTTTCTAATGACCCCAGCTTTCTGCCCTTCACTGTAAGTTTTAAATTTACTCGTATGGTAATGTTAATAAATCTGATAAAATTTATATAGGTGGAAGCTCACTCTCAATGTTCATCCATCGACAAACATCGCCTATATCAACATCTGATCAAATGATTGAAAATTGCATTCAAACAGCTTTCCCTTTGGAATTTGTCTGCTATTATAGAGAGCAATCATGTTGTGATTGTGATCATACAAGCCTTTGACGCAATTTGCAATAGGTCATATACAGTTATAGCAGGTGTAACTGGTTTTAAATCAGACAGTAATTTAAATAATAGTTATCATGGTTGTCAATATGTGGCTGATGTTCTCAGCTAAAAAGTGAGTCACACCAACTTAGAAAAAGCGTTATGCAACATTCTGGATCTTCTAAATATGTTCTATCTTATAATAGGGTGTACGTTTTATAAACATAAATAAATGAGCTGCGGCCAGTTGTAAGAATATCCCTTGATATTATCCTTCTCCGCTAATGACAGACATTAACTCAGTGATGTTCTTCTGGATAGTCAAATGGTTTTCAATAAAATAATAATAATATTTTATTGCATCTTAAGAAATAACATTTCTATCAGTGTACAGCAACGAATTCAAAATAATTTATCATCATTTGCAGTTTATGAAATTAAACTATGCATGCAAAATATGTCTAAATTACATGTTTTTTAACACCTATCATTATTTTAAAGGTTGAGTTCCTTGTATGCCTCAAAAATTAATTATTTAGAAAGAGAAAAAAAAACTCTTATTTTCTGCATTGTGTAAATCAAATGTCATTTTCAAGCGCAAATAATCTTTTTAAATAAAGTACAATCCACAACATTCAGCATTTTTCTGACCAGCCATTGTATGACCTCCATTCAATCTCCAAAGCATCACATACATCTAATCAATCCATGCATTTAAGGTCATGACCTTTGGTTGCTTTGAATATCATTGTAAGGACTGTATACAATGTGTTGTGAATAATGAGAGAGGAACATTGTGCTGTAACAAAAATGAAATCTAAGTACAATAATAAACCCAAAAAATAATCCTTTTCAGGGTCTATAGTTGTGCTATATTTTACAGATTTAGACCACATAGATTTATTGTGTTTTGAAAGTGCATAGATAAAATTAATTTGCCAATTGTAAATACCACCATGTAGGGGTTGATGCGCAAGAAGGTACATTGTACATGTGTGTATTGCATATAACAGCTATGTTTTATTTATTACTGTGGAATACTTTATTTTCGCTGGAATTAATTTTTGCTGAAAAGCCTTTTTTGGGCGTTTTGCTTGGAATTTATTTTCACTGATTTTTGATGAGTTTAATGTGAAATATAGGAAAAAAAAGTATATTCGCTGGATTTTATTTTCATGGAATCATCCCTTCAGCGAAAATAAATTCCAAGCAAAAATAAAGTATTCTACAGTATTAATAATCAAATTTCAACAAATATGATATTATTATAAGACAGTCACATAATTGATATAACCATGTTTAAAGGTCATTGATAGTTTGCTTGTGGTTCATGCATTAATTGCTATGCACACACCCCATTTTGCTGTAGTAGGATCAATGGTGGTGTGTAAATCAGTAGCTAATGACTGAATATAAATATTAGCCATACTTAAACACTCTGGGCTATCATGTATGTAGCTATGTTGGGCACCCTTGTGCGTGATTTGTTACTGGGGATACCAAAATCAATACATCTAACAAGAATAATAAATTTGCTACTTAATTTTTAAACAATGTAGCAACAAAGGAATTTATGATTTATCTTGTTGCCATGCCAACAATGAATACAATACCTTTGCACAGAAAAAATTCCATTGTATTCTCCAGTGATGTCTTCATTGATTAGTTATTTCAAAATTTCCATGGGGATGAATATTTAGGAATTTTTGTTGTTGTCATCAATTAATGAAAATTTGAATAAATATATGATGTAATAATCGCAAGCCAGGTTACCACAAAGTAAACAAGTTTTTTGCAAAGTTGCGAGTCATCTTGTTAACTAGCCTGACATGTAGGGTGTGAGTGGCTTCTTCACTTACCGAACGGCATCAGACATCAATAACGCCTGTCAGGATTGTGTATGTCTCGTCGACAAGGTCAATTCTGAGAATTCGCAAAGTTCACGCCTTTTTTCAAAGAGTTTCAATGAATATTCATTTTGGTGGTCATGGGAACGCAAAGCCGTGTTTGCATTGTCGGCAAATATCACAGACTGTTTTCTACAAGAAAAAAAATCGTCAGGGAAGTGAAAAACTACATCGTTCTGTCAGACGTGTGTTGGGTTCTGGTGCAACTCACACGACCTTGTCAGGCTACTTGTTAACTAACTCCATATAATTCTCAGAATGGCTGCAATTGTACTTCTGTTTAAGTTGTTTTGTTCATATAATATATGATTGGGAGATGTACTTCTGATGGTCCACTGCAATTACTTGCTTGTGAAAAAAAATTGACACATTTGCTGCTATGTGTATTTCTAACATTAAAACATCGAATGTGGAGTAACTTCATGAGAGAATTCTTATTCCATAATTTCAAACAATTTAATTTTCAAGAAAAAATTAAAATAAAAGCATATTTTTAACCCCAAAAAATTGTTCCATCTAGATAACATCAGCCAGACGATTCTTGGTGGAGTTTGATGAGATTCCCGGCGGTGGTAAACATCAACAACGTTTACAAGAGACAGCGATATACGACTTGGTAGCCTACCATGATGCAATGCGACACTCTATCGCTGCAGGTGACAAGGTCTTAGCACCCTGGGAATTAAACGGAACAAGGTACGCACCTGGTACTGTGTTGGAAGGAGTCGAAAAAAGATCCGCTGGAGGTAGGAACAAATTTTTAAAATGACGCTTGTCTTTGATATAATAAGTGGCAATGTCTGAACTTTTTTTCAAAAATACATTTGCACTTTTACATTCACTGACATTTAATTTCACTATTTTGATTTTTTGATCATATTCACTGTGTTTTAATTTCATAAATTTGTCGAAGAAACAATAAAATTTCATTGTTTTTCACATGTTCACAAGGAGATAATTTAGCAGATTTTACTTATCGGCAAATAAGTAAATTTAAAACCCAGTGAATAATTATGCAGGATGCATGTTAACTAATAAGTTTGTGACCCCAAAAAATGATCATTTATTTGGAAAAGTTTTTTTTCATGCCAGATACAGTCATTGGCAACCATTTTTTTATGCTTGATAAATCACAGTAAAATATCGCATTGAACATTGCTTTCCCTAATTTTTTTTAAGATTTCACTTCTTTAGTTAGTCTAATATCCACAATTTTTGCTGATTTGGGAAGACTTTGCTAAAAACAGGTAATCAACAACTAGCACAAGGGAAAACGTGTATGACGACAGATAAAATAAAGATCTGACCTACCTTCATATACATGTTTTTTTGAAATGCTTGTTATCGGCACTACACAATTTAATTAAAACATAATTTTTTAATGATGACCTGACTAGCGTCAAAGGGAAATGGTGTTAGTTTGGTCTAAAGTTAACAAGGAAATAATTGAAAAATACGCAAATATGTGCACAAAGTTGGATAAACATTTTGGAGGAAAATATTACAGCATTCCAATTAGTAAAAATTAATTTGGTTTAACAGGTGAATTGAAAAATGATTAGATGAGAATTCATAAATACTTTCATTAATCCCTCTGAATTTTGTTTATCTGCCTATTTATAAATGTTACCATTTAAACTTTGTTTTCAGGTCTGTCTGACTCTGATGATCTGGTTGTTACTTTCTATGATGGTAAAACAAGTACTGTGCCAAAAGAGACAGCCCTTTGGATTCCTATACATCTCTATGAACGGATTAAATTGGAGTTACAGATGCCAGCCACAGCACGAGCTGATCTACACCGGTATCCAGAATACCCGCTTGTGGCACCACCAGGGTATCCAGTAACAGTCATACCACAGCCACCGGATTACGATACTGTTGTTAAACTGAAAGGCGATCCAACTCGGCATGTTTATATTCCAATTTACCCAGATCAAATGCCAATGTACGCAATGCCGGTAGCAACGTCAACTGTACAACCCAGTGCTGTTAGAATGGAAGATGTAGAGAGGGTAATTCCCGGAACAAATCTGACGAAGTCAGAGCTGAATCAGAAGGTAATGCAGCAACTAATGGACCATAAAATGCTGTCTCATGGTGATTCTAGGAAAGTATCATTCCGTGTTGCAGCTGCCGACAAAGATAGTGGATTCGGATCAGGACATGGAGAGACAGAAGAAGAGGAACGCTTAGAGGATGAGGAAGAAATGAGAAAAATAAAACAAGTGAAAGAAAAAGTGAAAAAGGATTTGTACCGCGATAAACAAACTGAAACGGATTTACGTCGACTGAAAATGATAGACACTGAGCTATATAAAACCCAGGGGGTTGAGACGGATTCAAAGTTACTGTTTTACCAGACACCAAAGAAAAAACAAGAGGAGCTAGATGAGCGCCCACCATGGAAGAACTGGAAACAGACACCCCAGCCGAGGACCAGAGCAGGTAGTAGAGGCGTAACAGCATTCCGGGATACTGCTCTTAATCCACCATTAGAAGCTAAAGCTAGAGCGTTGCAGTATGACCCCGATATCCCTATGTATAAATCTGTGGACTTTGATGTTTTGGATCGTGGGGATTACATGCCGCAATCGCAGAATGGAACTCCTATCAGACCACAGCCACCTAAAGTTCAGAGACGTCAACACTTCAGACAGGAAAGAAAGCAAAATTTGAATGAACGACCGCCATGGAAAAGCTGGCAGCAGTCATCTCATGGTGGTGTTTCGGTGAAACCTGGGCGTGCGTTTAGAGAAGCCCCTGTCGGAATTCAAACAGAAAGTGCATGGTCTGAGGTATATGAACCAGATGCTACGTACCAGCCTAATCATATTGAACAGAGTCAAGCCTGGAAAAATCAGGGACATCGCTTAGAAGACAGCCCACCATGGGATAGCCAGGAGCAATATTCGCAGGATAGACCTTCTTGGAAGAGCCATGGACAGCGTTTACAAGACAGCCCACCATGGAAAAAACAGGGTTATCAACTAGAAGATACCCCACCTTGGAAGAACCAGGTCCGTCTTCTGCAAGATAGACCTCCTTGGAAGAGCAGAGGCCACACCCCTCATGGAAGAGTCGCAACATCTGCAAATGAATACCGAGAATACGCTCCAGCCACTCCATCAGTAGCAGAATCGGAATATTATGGTCCCGATGACAGGTCAGCAAACTTTGATTCCGGTAACCATAATATCGCAACAGAACGAGGGCAAGTATCCTGGGAGAAACAACAGCACTTGCGTAACGGAGAACCTGTTGGACCTATTATGGTGGCCTATAAGGAACACATTGAAAAGTCCAAACGTGGTGAAACACAAGCAACACATGTAGATGACCGGCCGGTGTGGAAGTCACATGGACGTGGACATGTAGGGGGTTATTCCACGCCTGGTGTCACCAGATTCCGGGAGACGTCTCTCAATGCTCCATTGGAAGCCCGATCACAACCGATATCATCAGAACCGGAAATGTATGGCCCGGTGAATCAATCGGCTGTATTTCAAGCTGTCGATCAGTCTGGTGCCCACGGTGATAGAGCTCTGTTGTTACACGAATTGAAGCATGGACAGCTACAGCGACAAAGAGTCACTGTAGGATTGGATACTCCAGCATTACAACGAGTTGGAAGACGAGACAAGGCACGAGAAGCTAAAGAAAATGGTTATCTTGAAAGTAGACGTCGCCAGACAATGGAACGTGATATGACATTACAGCAGAGGGATAGGGATATGGAACAACAGCTTGCGGCACGGGATCAGCAACACCGGTAAGAGATTAGAATCATATTCATGAATACTGTTAATTAATTATTCACTGGTTTTTAATTTTCCTACTTTCGCTGATATTTAAAATCCGCTAATTTTAAAATTAAATCCATGTAAATATGTAAAATAACAATAGAACTCATTGTTTTCCTGCCAAGTTCGTGAAAACACAATGAAATAGCTCAAAACAGTGAAATGGTTTTACAGTAGCAGAAATGAATGTGAAATAATGATGTCAGCAAGAGCATGCTTTACTGTGATCGCGGGAAAGAATAGAACCTTGCAGTATGTGACACTATTTTGACAAAATAGCTTCATTCACAAAGTGAAGGAATGACTACTTGTACATGTACATTGTGATTAATATCATTAGCAAAACAGTGTCTCATACTGCAATATTGCCATTCCATTATTTATTGTGTTCACATTAACATGTTGTACCGGTATGCCACACATTCTTGACTTCATGTGTTATAATCATACAATGCCTGGTATCTGTCACCGTAAAGCCATAAGTTACAGTAAATTTTAATTAATTTTGCCATGATTTTGTAGTATTGCACTGGGTATTTTCATTCTACCATATCAGGAGATGCGAGTTCAAAGAATGGAACAGTTACGCATGTAAGCTTCCTTAAATAATAAAAACAAACATGGCTGCCCCCAGTGTTTGGCCAGACCCCACACAAAGAAGAAGTTTTATTTTGGCATTCCCATGATGTATCATTGGGAGGAAAGGACATATAATAATAAGGTTATTACGACGATACCGCAAAGTGTGCACTCAGACAGTACGCTGTCGCATCAACCTCTGCTGCGTGTCGGTCGATACTCCCACTGTACTGTATTTGTGCATATTTTACGGTATCCTCGTAATAACCTCATATTATATAATGTACATTACAAAGTATGAAATGTGTTGTAACTGCAATATTTATTTAACCAAGAAACATTATAATATTAACAATAATAAGGCCAAAAGAAACAAATTTATTGCTCCAGTAACGGCTTAAAAGTGAGGTAGTAAGCCAGGAATTTATTTTATTATGTTAAATTAGTTGTTACACTATAAATGTCAAAAAAAGACATGTAAATCTGTTTTCACAATATATTTTCTATTTTCATTTATTGCTTAGAATTATTAGGTACATTAATATATCAATCATCTTCCAAAGCAGAAACTCAAATGTTTGCTCCTCTCAAAGACTGTCGCTGTGTACTTATATATTGTAATAGAAGTATTTGAAAGTGTAACTATACTTGTATTATACGACTTAAGAGTGTACTTTACTATACTTGAGTTGTTTAAGGAGTACTTAAATGTGTACTTAAACTTATTGTTATAGAAGTACTTGAAAGTGATATTAAATTATACTTGTATGTCGTTGACAGGTTTCAACACCAACAACAGCTCCAGAAAGACGCTGAACGGCGCATGAATGAAGAGAAAACTATTGCAAATACTATGGAGACAAAAAGAGCCCTCACATCACAAGTCATGACACGGATTGATGACTACGCTAAAAGAGAAGCTGAACGAGAAGCAATTAAACTAGAAGCTAAGCGACAACAGGTACAGCGACGAGCTGAAATACAAGAACAGAGACAACAAGAGATTGACAATACGATTGCTAGACGACAGGTTAGTATATCAATTTGTGATTCCTCGTATATAAAGTTTTCATCAGCAGTGGTTTTTCTGATATAAGCTTTAATGGTTGATTTCCCTCTAACTTCAACCTTTGGTGAACTGACTTAAGCATTTAGGCATTTATACCCCACTGGAAGAAAAAAGGCTTCTTGTTGATTTGTTTTCCAAAAATGTATGCAATTGCATGTTTTTTATTAAAAATGGTCTTTCATTTTGTTTTTTTGAATATTTATAAATTTTATAAAACAATGACAAAAAACTGTGACATGAATTTTCTGTTCATAACATATGTATTAACAATTGTGTGGTCCTTAATGTGTTATGACTACATTTGTATAATCACTGGTAATTTTTTGTTGTTGTTGTTGTATTAATTACCCTGAATTACCATTACCTACTGCCATTTTCTACATGTTAAATTTATCGGTCTGAGCTGCTTTCTCCGATATTCAATCATCATTGGGCAAACAGATTTTTTTTTTTTTAACACACATTCATGTTTCCTTGATGCTTTCCTTTCAGGAAATCAAACACCAAAATTCCTTGAAACGATCGGAAGAACAGAAACAGAGAATACAAGAAAATCATCGTCAAGAAATGGAGCGTGAGATGCAGATGAGAAACAAAGAGATTAATCGCCGAGAACATTTTCGAAATATTGAGCAAGATAACCAGGAAAAAAAAGATCTGCGTATTGCAGTGAAGGAAATGAAAACTATGGAATTACGATCTAAGATTTTGCCGTAATTCATCTCACGGTCATATCTATTTTATCGCAGATAATTTCAAGCCAAACACAAAATAGGACTTAGATAAGTTTCTGCTTAGGTTGAGTTAACAATCTCTACGTATGTTTTTGTTTGTTCATTTTGTTATCTTCTATTATTATTCATTTGCTATCCTCTTATGTTTATTTCCATGTTATCTTCTCTGTTTGTTTGTTTCTCCTATGTTTATTTGTTTGTTATTTCCAATGTTTCTTTGTTTGTTTTCTTCTATGTTTGTTTGCTCGTTTATCTTCTATGTTTGTTCATTTGCTATCCTCTTATGTTTATTTCCATGTGTTCATTGGTTATCTTCTGTTTGTTTGTTTGTTTGTTATCTTCTATGTTTGTTATTTCCAATGTTCGTTTGTTTGTCATCTTCCATGTTTGTTTGTTTTCTCCTATGTGTGTTTCTTATCTCCAATGTTTTACTTTTTTTTCTTCTCTGTTTGTTATCTTGTTTGTGTGTTTGTTTGATATCTCCCAAATTTTTTTGTTTGTTTGTTATCAGCTCAAAATGAGACTAGAATCTGAATCTAAGCACAGATTCCTGAAATCTTATATCAGAAGGATTATCACAATAGTTATATCAAACTTTGCCATGCATTGCAGTTGAACTTGAATTAAAACTGATTTCCAATGCTGTTGGTTTTTTTTTTGATGACAATATCAAAATGAGAGAACGATATGTAGTGTAATTTTTAATTTATAATAATTTATTTTTGACATATATCTAGACATATGGCAATTTTTTTATCATGTTATTTGATAATTTCATAGATTTTACTCTCTGTAATATAAAATATGTTGATAGTATAATACAATTTTTAACAAGTGACAGACTTTGAGGTAGAAACTGACTATGGTCATATTTGCATAGGCCAACAGTTGTATATTCCTGATATGAGGATCTTTACATCTTATATAGAAAGTGAATCGAGATAAAGTGAACAAGTTTAATAAGAATTTTTAACGAAATTTACTAAATGAAAAATTAGATGGTGTCAGTTTGTAGGTCAAAGTTCGTAGGTCAAAGATCACGCATCTTATTTTATTTTTAATCTAATTTTATAAAAGTGAAATATATCAACTATTTTCTGTAATAAACTAATTTTATGTTTAAAATATAGTAGAATGTAGATGAGCAGTATTTCATATCTGTAATTATTAATCAGTGATTAGTTTTGCAATTTCATATACAAAGATTCCTGGTTTAAAAATGGTTGCAATCAAATATGTCTTGCATCAATGTGCTCTCTGGAACTGAGAGAAGGAAAATAGGTTAAGTAGAGGTCAAAATATTCTGCATTAGATTTGTATTTGTAAAAACATAAATCACAGTGTAAGATTTGAAAATAATTTTTTTCAATCAATGTTGAAAGTGATATGTTACAAAGTAGCAGACATTTTTGTACACAAAAATACATCCATAAAAACTTATTTGTAGTTTGTAAAATATTACAAAAAAATAGATTTTTAATATTTTTTTATTAATTAAAAAAATGAACTTGTTTTGAACAAATATTTTTACAATTGAAAAATTGTTAGAAGAAATAATATTTCTGTCAAAATTTAAATTTGTTTTCTTTTTAGCTTTATGAGCATAAACATTTGTCACCTTTCAAAAATTAGAATCAACAATATTTTTTCATATTTTATTCAAAATTTTCATCAAGACTGATAGCCAATAAAAACTACATCCAAAATTATTGGAACATTTATTGAAAAATGCATAGAAATTGATAAATTGTATCACCAATATTATAGCACTCAAAGATTTCATAAACATATTAGGATTTTTGTGTGAGTCTGAATGTAACACATCCTGGTACTTTTTAGTAGTATTGTCAATATTTTCCAATGGTATACGACAATTTTTATACCAATATAAACTGTTTTGGTTTTGGTTTTTAGAAGGAAAATAATTGTAATATTGCATTGAATCCCACCAAAAGACCAGGGATGTATTATCTTTTTATTATTTTTCAAATGAGTTTATCAGTCGAAGGCAACATATAATCGACAAACTATTTTTTGTGACCACATTGTTTGTAAGTAAAACAATGCATTGTGTAACTTTGCATTGATTCAAACCAGCTAATTATTCAAACTATTTCTTCTGTAAAATTGATAATCATGAGAAAATTAGTTTTTTTAAAAAAAGATTTCATAATTTGGATTTGCTTGACTTTTGTCCCAATAATGATAAACTACGGGTAATTTGATCAGCATATAATTGTCAGAAGTGGAGGGTGGCTAGAAACTGTACACATGCTCTTTGTGGGACCATGAAACTGATAGAAGCTTCTAATTGGCTATCTTTGGGGGGACCATGAAACTGATGGAAGCATCTGATGCTGATTATACTAGAAACTTAATTTGCAATCTGTATATAGAAATAAATAGTATACAAATATTTTCTACAGAATTTTGTTTATGACTTCTTTTTTATGTGATACATATGAAACCGAATGAAATCAAATTTCTGTTCTGGTTTGATTGGTTTGATCGTGAAGTAGGAATTTGTTATTGTGTTTGAATGCTGGGGATACTGACATTTTTAGCACTATTCAATTTTGAATATACAGTGCATTTTGTCACGTAACCCATGTTTGGTGCTCTATTCTACTAGTACCATTGAATACTCTATCCCGGTCTCAACCAGACTATGATGACCTTTGATCCAAGATTCCACTAGTCTCATTCAGGAGTAAATGAATCTGGACCTTGACTTTGGGTAACCAAAACAATGGATTCAGTACAACAACCATGCCTTGAGCCAATCAAATCATTGTAAAGTTAAATTGTTGATTGATATGGAAGTTGAATAACTTAGGGGAGCTCAATTAAAGTATGCTCAACTGGTGTTCAAGTGAACATAAACTTTTTTTTTGTGCTAGGCGACAGTTCCGGACATTGAATGTCACTGTTGTTTCTCCTGACTTTTTTTTTGCCACAGAAACCATATTCATATTTGGGACAACATGACAGGGCTGTGCGGCCATCTTCCTATCAAATGGCAATTTAATGGGCTATCCTGGTGTCAACCAGGCCCGGTCGAACACAAGCACCTGTGGACCATAACCAAGGTTCCCCCAATATCGCATCATTAGTGAATGAATCTCGGCCAGTGGAATTGGCCTTTCCATTGAGTCTGTGGCACACTCACCCAGGGTAGGGGTCGACCCTTTTGATGTTCAGCCTAAGGTAGGATTTGAACTTGGGTCTACTGGTCATGAGTCTGATGCAACAACCACTATGCTACCAGTGAACGGTTGAACATAAACTTAGGGAGACTAAGAATGTTTGTAGACCACAAATGTAGTTCCCAACAGCATTTAAGATGTATTGTTGTTGTTTTTTCAAGTGAGGTTATTGCCTACTGTAGCTTTTAACAGCCCTCTCATGAATTGAGAGGCAATTGTTTTTACAACCAGACAATTAAATTCAAGCAGCGCCCTCATCAATTAAATTGAGATGCATTTGTTTTTACAATCGTAAATTTTCAAGCAGCGCCATCATCAATTAAATTGAGATACATTTGTTTATACGACACATTTAGATTCAAACAACGCGCTCAATCAATTGCGATACATTTGCTTATACAACCATACATTTTCAAGCAGCATCCTCATCAATTAAATTGAGATGCATTTGTTTATACAACCATACATTTTCAAGCAGCGCCTTCATCTATTTAAATGAGACACATTTGTTTTTACAACCATAAATTTTCAAGCAGTGCCCTCATCAAATAAATTAAGGTGAATTTGCTTTTACAACCACACATTTAGATTCAAGCCCTCATTAATTAAATTGAGATGCATTTGTTTATACAACCATCCATTTTCAAGCAGCGCCCTCAGCAATTAAATTGAGATACATTTGTTTATACAACCACACATTTAGATTCAAGCAGCGCCCTCATAATTAAAGAGACGCATTTGTTTTTACAACCATCAATTTTCAAGCAGCGCCCTCATCTATTAAATTGAGATACATTTGTTTTTACAACCAGACATTTAGATTCAAGCAGCGCCCTCATAATTAAAGAGACGCATTTGTTTTTACAACCATCAATTTTCAAGCAGCGCCCTCATCTATTAAATTGAGATACATTTGTCTTTCAGGCTCCCAATGTAGTTTTAAAAGTTTCTTCTAAACTGATAATTTTGAAGACATCTTTATGAGCACATTTTTCAGAGATTTGTGTGTTGCCTTTTTTTTTTGGTTGGTTCTGTGCACAATATTTCACATTCACCAGTGTTTATTGCTATTCCACCATGTGTAATTAATTAAAATTTGATGCACGCAATTCAAAATCTATTTTTATCCATCCACTTGCGTTTATTGCATGTCAGTATTAATGATTGAAGAACATACCACTAGTTCATACCACTGTGAATAAGACAAGACTTGTCTATGAATTTAAAGTTATGCTTTATTGCTGTTGAATAAAGATAGAAATATCACAACCTTAATTGTAACTGCAAAAAAGAAAAAAAAAATCATTCTCCAAATGCATTCATTCTATTCATGGAGGTATAAAAAGTTTATACCTGCATATTCTATTTAAGTTTTTTAATCTTTATTTTAATCAGCATTGCCATGGTGATGATATCTGTAGTAGCATGTGGATATATCTGTAATTACAACAGACTAGTTTTATACTTCCACTGTAGTACAGTACACTGCTTATAAAATGCCATACTACCCATAACCATAGCAATGCTCAACAAAATTCATTGAATTTCACGTCAAAACAAAAATATTTTTTTGTGTGCAAAATTTGGCTTCTAAAACTATATGTAGTATAAGTAAATGGTAAAAAACATGAAGTTTTTCGCCCCGTTGGCAATTCTCAGTTTCGATATTTTTTAATAGAAAGATCTGTTTTCCATTTTGCTAATCTACATGGTATAATTTGGGTCCCATGCGATGTGAACCACGAGTAGAAGCAGGTGCTTCTCAAGAAACTGATTTACAAGAGCGTGCATTGAAGGAGCCCCCTCCCCAGAAAATTGGGGGGGGGGGCTGATTCAAAAACATATTATGGATGGGAAACTAAAGCCGAAATAAAGGTTATGCTTCTTGCGTCATCACTCATGGTACAGTAGAATGGGGAAATGATTTTTTTTTTTTTCAGAGGATATCTGTCGATTTAAATCAAAATTTGATGAATGTATATTATTCAAACAAACGTATACTGCTTTCTGTGAGATGAAAATAATCAAAGCACAACAATTCAATGTGGAGAAAGCCATCAAGCCAAAATTTTAACATTTTTAGTAGAATCTTGAGTCTGAAATATGCACATTTTGTACAGCTAGTACTCGTGATAATTAAAGATGGGAATGGGGCACGTGGATAAAGATGGCGTACACAGATGACGGCAGGGCACTCAGATGAAAGCAGGTATACACAACTGAAAGCATGGTATGCAAACAAATTAACAAATTTGAATGTTATTTCAGGCTGGTCCAATCTAGAAACAGTTTTCCACAACTCAGCATGTTTCACTTTTGCTCGAGAATTAGGTTTTATTTCATGCATCAATAAGCATGGAAGAAACTATTTAAACAGGAGGGTAGACTAGCACATTTCACTTTAAGGCAGGAGGCCTTTATCGGAGGGATGACCACAATATTGCACATAGAAAGAAAACACCATACGGCATGTTAACTCATGCAAAAAATTTAAAATATTTACACAGTTTAGTCAAATATCCGGAAAAAGTCAAAAACTTGAAAAAATTTGCACAATTTTATACAATTATGAAGGAAAAGCATTAAATATTTTTTGTGCATAGTATTTTTCTTGAAAATATTCTGTATATTCAGGTAAAACAAAGATGAAAAGAGAATAAGATCTGACATGAAAATATTAGTATTCAAACAAAATACAATCTTCAAAGATGATTGGCTGAATATTAACCAATCATTGATCATCATAAATGTATCGAATTCTGATTGGTTGAGAGCTGGCCAATTGATACCATTCTTGTATCCATTGGTAACCACACCATTCTGACAATATATACACAAATATAATTGGTTAATTAGTGACCAATCCCCGCAGTTTATTGGTTATACATGATTTTTAAAAAGACTATACAAACACACAATGTAAAACATCAAACTCTAGGTTTTTATAAGAATATTAATTTAGTAACTGATGAAGTAATTATGTGATAATAGATTTTAATGCTGCAAATATACACCAATAAAAATGATAATGCCCTCGTATCACACAAATATCGCCATAACAAATGAAATTTAACACAGTGATAGATCATCAACTCATTTTTTATTTTCACATAATTTATTCATTATGTTCATATCATGCTTTTATCACATTTGTATTAACCGTTTAGCAATGACGCTACGCCATTTATCAAATTGAAATAATTCACATCCAGGTTTTGGATGAATTGTTCTCACTCCGCATATTTACCACGATTTGAAGGATCAAAACTTGCTTTGGGAAAACACAATATCATTCATGAATTTACGTTCAATGATTGTCTATGCAAATGATATCTTGAGAGACAAATAAAATTAACGCGGCTGAGCCAGTCTATTCACGTTCCAGTGTGGTACACGATAAAAATGTGATACAAGCATGATGAATGGGTGACAAAAATGCGATAAATGTGCGAATTTGTGGAACAGACAAGTTGAAAGTCACACTGGATATACATTATTTATTTCAAAGAACGTATCAAAGTGAAAAAGTTCTAGATGGAACTGGGCATTATTTCTTAGATATTGCCCTCTCACTTCTAAAATCTACTACTACATGTATATATAGTCCAGGGCATTATAGATAGAGTAATAACAATTCATTATTATAATAATTACCTGAGAGGTGAGATTCTGTTAAATTCAAGAAACAAATAATAAATGCATAGTTTGACGAACATCATAACAGATACAGATTTTTTTTTGGTATTTATTTTGTGTTGGTGTCCTCGACACAATTGCACAAATTTGACACAATTGACCTGCTGGTCAGCAATAAGCTATCACTTTATGATACTAATAAAAAAAATGATGCAACATAAAATACAAATTTGACATTCACTTTATCATTGTTCTGGCAACTTAACAATATGTTAAAGCCAAGTAAAAAAAAAATTCTGGTCTGTTTTACAAAATCACTGCCTAATACAACCATTCATTTCCCAGCCAAAATTTCCCAGCATAATCAAATCCAATGTGAGATTCTGAATCAAATCCAATGTGAGATTCTGAATCAAATCCAATGTGAGATTCTGAATCAAATCCAATGTGAGATTCTGAATAAAATCTAATGTGAGATTTCAAATCAGATCTAATGTGACAATTTGAGTCAAAATTTAATGTGACTTTTGAATCAAATCCAATGAGAGATTCTGAATGAAATGAATTGTTTGATTGTGAAAAAAATCAAGGGAGATAGTTTCCATGAAAAAAAAGGTATTGTGAATGCTGACTATAATTCACAATAGTGATAGAAAGACTTAGATGCAATACAGACACTGACACATACTGATATCAAAAATATCAAAATATGTATGGATTGTTAATTGGATAATGCAGAAAATGTACTATAGCTGGCATGCTGCGTAATTCACAGCAAAACAATTTCCCCAACATTTCCTGGAGTTAGCAACACAATGTGAGAGATCTAAATGTGTAATACCACATTAAGATTTGAAGCAAATATAATTCATGATCTGCTCCTTGTTTAGGTAGAAAGATTACCACTATGTAATAGTCGATATGATTGAGAAATGCATTCAGGCATACTTAAAGGGTAGTGGTCATTGTGTCTTGTTTAATATGGGATGACGTACACAACGCGCTATGCGACGACCACTGCCCTTTAATGACGTTGTATTTGGAGATGTTATAGACAAAAAAAATATTGTAATATATTCCCAAAATGCAGTTCCAAACTTCCTACAACATAATGCAGTAAATCCCACAATGCATTGTAATACAACCCACAATTCATTGCACAACATTCCCACAATGCACTGCAGAACATTCCCATAATGTAATTCAGTACATTCCCATAATGGATGGCAGTATGTTCCAACAACACACTGCAGTATATCCCACAATGCATTGGGATATATTCCATGAAAAAATGCAATAAATTTCAGTGCAATATGGTGATCTTCAGAATTCATTGCAGTATATTCCCACAATGCATAGCAGTATGTTCTCATGATGCATTGCAACACATTTTAATATAATTTGGTACTCTCCAAAATACATTAGAATGCAATAACGCACCACTACAAAGACTTGTTTTGATACAATCTCCAACTACAGCAAAAAAATTATTAAGAAAACACATAACATTGTCGTGAACACAAACACATATTATGTGACCATCAAAATTATATACAAAAAACCTGTAGCAAAATGTAAATATAAATAAATAAATAAATAAAATGTATTAACCCACAAGATCCTGAACAGCAGGAGCCATATTGGATTTGCATAGAATTAACATGGCAGTAGGAACAGCTTCCCATCATGCATCACTTCACCTTCTTTTACCCACTGTGGATGGTTTCTTGCAATGCAGTGTGGGAAGGGCACCAATGCTACAGGTAAGGAAACATGACGAACCCCACACATATACAATAAGAGCGGAATATACACGCCAATATTTTGTTGTCAAAGTCACACTGCCTGTTCTTTTGAATCTTTATTGACTGTTTGTTGTTGTTGTTGTTGTTGTTGTTGTTGTTGTTGTTGTTGTTGAGTGATCTTCAAAAGTACAGTGTTCAGCAGGGATACACAGTTATCTAGTTTATGGTCCATTCTATTCATCTGAAAAATACAAAAACGAAAAAGGTTAATTAAAAGTTTGTTTTTTCCTCAAATACAACTTTTTGGCGACAACATTTGTGGTTTTGTTATACATTTGTACTTTAATTTAGTATTATGCTAATCAGCTAATTATTATTACAAAACTATGGAATAATATTTAACTACAAAAACAGTTTGTATTTATCAAGTTAAATCAAATAAATACTCCATAAATCTGATTATCTGATTATTAAGAACTGTTATTTTGTGAAAAGGTAGAATATTGTTATTAAAATGAGTGATTACGCAGAAAGTAATTGCTAAGTTAGACAAGACAGTGCAACTTGCTGCCAGTTTGTGCATGAAATGGCAGTCTTCTGTGTACATTTACATAAAAGATGTACAGTCGAAAATATCACTTTTTTCCAAAAATGACAAAAATATTCACCAAAATTAGAGAATTGAAGATATCATCATGAAATGAACAAATCTAAGAGAGGTCTACCCAATGTAAAACAGTTTAAAAAGAACTTCCGTGTGCTGGGAGTATTTAAGACAGATTAAAAATTAATTCGAATTTAAGATTTGCCTTTCAAATGCGAAGCTAGGCAACTAATATTCGTCTACTACATTGTACATGTGATACACAACATGAAAACAATGTGATCGATATTATTGAAGTTATAACACATTATACTAACATCAAAATATGTGTTTAATTTATTTCAGAGCACCTCTACCACTCTACTCTATCAGAAATTGGCTAATAATAATTAAATAATCAATATGCATGTTTTCAACATTAAACTAATCATGTGTGTGGATTATCCCAGAGAGCCTCTATGAACCAAATTTCAATGAAGTGTGGTGTGGTGATTATGCACAAAAATTAGGCAATTAGTATGCTTGAATTTCAATCTCAAACTAATCTGATCTTTCGCATTGCTCCCACACAATTCATATACCAATTCTTATTGATATGCAATAATTGTTTTTTTGAGATATAGGTAGAAAATTGGGTAATTAATATGCAAATTAAGTATTATGCATAGAATTCAACACAAAACTTATTAGCTCAGTGTATTGCTCCAGAGCACATATGCACCAATTTTCATTACATGTATAAAGTACTTGAGATATTGGTGGAAAACTGACTACAAAATTAATATGCACAGATTTCAATGTAAAACTGTGCAATGCCACAGACCATCTATGTACCAAGTTTCATTGAAATATGATTAGAACTTGGGATGTCAATGTAAAAGCTACAATTGGCGAATTATGCAAATTAGGTAATTAATATGCACATATTTTAAACCAAAACTAATCAGTTCTGTGCATAGTCCTAGAGCATCTAAGTACCAAGTTTGATTGAAATGTAATGATTAGTACTTGATACATCAGCGGAAAAGCCCAAAACTGACTAATTAGGTAACTAATATGCACCAGATTTTACCAAAAACTAATCAGGTCTGCGTATCAAACAATTCATACATTAAAAATTAATATATATATTCAACATTCAAACAAAAAAATAATCTATTAACTAGGAAACCAAGCATAGGAGAGACAGTTTTACAAATGATCTTAGTAATACCCACCTTATTTTCCACTTTGTTTATTCTTTGAGACAGGGTTACTGTTCGTAATCTGTTGTTTTCTTCCCCTGCAAAAAAATGGATACACAACACATCATTGATAATGTCATGGTATAAACATGTGGAATCAGGGTTGAAAAAGTCTTTAACATTTGCATAAATCGATATACCGGTACCTCTGATCTATTTCATACACTTTAGCATAATTTCAATTATTACCTCTAATAGAAGTTGAACAATTGAGAAGAAAACATTCACCATTTCTCATATGTGTAGATGCTCTAATAGAAGCCGCATCCCTTCTGTTGCTTTGTGCCATTTTAATAGAAGCCGTAGCTTCTAATACAGATTTTACGTCGAGTTTTAGCAAAATTTCGTCATCATGACTGTGTTGATGCGATTAATTTCAGTGGAAGGGGGTCAAATCGTTACCCTGTGCTAGTACGTGGGCCATATACTGAATGGGAAGATTTTCAAATTTCTCATGTGCAAGAATGAGATCAGAAATATGCCAGATTCTCGTCAGATTCTCGTCAGATTTTGGCAGGAGAAAATTGTATGACTTGGTTAAGGTAACAAGCGTATGATTGAAACAAGGATATTGACGATAATGTCATTATTATAAAAAGACATGTCATATGGAGTATATGACATGTCTTTTTATAATAATGACATTAGGATTCAGTTGCAAAATGCATGTAATTTGAACAAAAAGTTTCAATGGTCTGTGAGGATTGTAAACAAAGAAATGACAATGACTATTAATATAATGTTTATTGTCTTTTAGGCCATAGGCCCATATGACTATACATAACAGATAAACAACATAGTTGAACTATGGTGACCTTGCCCTTTGTTATATAGTATAATTCCCTTTATCATAATTTGTTTCAATATAAATATGCATTGTCATAATTAATTTTGAATACAAACAAGTTTTGGGGTTGAAACAACAGTGGGGAATCAGTCTACCGAATGTCCTTAAAAGATGTAAATATCTTACAAAAACATTGGTCTCTTATTTGTTTAATTATTTTAAGGGACATAATTTCCAGCTTTATTCAAAGTAATTCAGATATTTTAGTATAAAAACAAAAAGTGCTGCATTTAGACGTGAATAGATTCATAAAACACGCAAGATAACATAAAATCTTAGCTGGCTTTTGTCCAAGTATTTTGTACAGGTGTCTGTCAAAATTTAATGATTCACTGAGACAAATATGAACTGCCTCATTGTGCGACTTATTAACACCCTCTATGAATAGCTATCATGTTGCAAGCTCTGCTTTGTATGCAAATCAACTTAAACCCAGTGGAAGGAGAAGTCAACTGTACTGTTGCTTCCTGAGAATCTACATCTTCAAACACTGCAATCTTTGTTTTTGAAGTGCGTTTTTAAACTAGTATTATAAAAACTCTATTCTGTTCTAATAGCTGAAACATATTCCTGTGAGTTTTTATTTGTCGAATGAACTGTTTGTCAAATACAGAATACATATATTTTAATACAATTTTCTTTTCAAAATGTGGATGCAACGTTTTGCTTTTTATGTATATTTTATGTATTGTTTTTGATTTGATAACTTTGAACTAAACAGATTTTCTATTAGCTTCAGATCTTGATCAAAGTTTGGCACCCAGTTCATAGGAGTGCTTATATTGATTTTTTGACATCTTGTTTTCTGTAAAGATTTTATTGGTAGGTTTGCAAATGTGTATCAGACTGTGCAAAAAATCTCTCCATGAGTTGGTTTTGAAACCCAGTATAGTATTCCCATGGGATTTGGGGGATACTTTACCAAAGATATTATTACAAGATAAATGATTCACTTTACTGAACACATACAACAATGCATAATTCCACTGAGATCAGTGACTTTACACTGATGAATAAGGTGACCAAGTTTGATGAAGTTTGGAATAGAATTAGTAAAGTTATTATGCACACAATAACTATTATTAACGACGACGACGATGGCGACGACGACAACAATTCCGGACAAAATTTTCCCTTAATATACCTTTCCCTTCCATCTTTGATGGTACGGGCAAGGTAAAAAGAATGCATAAGCACTGAAGAATGTTCAGAAACTGTAAAATATATATATATATATATATATATATATATACATATATATATACAGAACAAAACTCTTATACCGAAAGTAACGAAAACTCAGTTCTAAGCTAAATTTACCAAGATTACGTAGTACTTTTGTGGATTTTGAGCGCATTAGATTGTAATATTTTTCTGAATTGGGAAGATGCCAAAAATACGCAGGAATTAACTGTTTCCTCATAGAGTGAAATAATGGGCAAATAAGATCAAAATGGTACAATGACAACTAGAAGTGACATTAAACTTACTTTGCAAGTATGATCCCGGTTTACCAATCGTTTGATCTAATCTTCTCTGTAATTCCTTGATGCGAACCATCATATTCAAATGGCCTTGTGAGTACTGTTCAATCACGTCTCGCACATCATATGGTTTACGTGCTTGCTGTAAAAAACAAAACAAGTACACAATTAGGCCAAAAAAAAATCAAAGAAAGCTTAGAAAGAACTCCCGTGTGCTGAGAGTATTAGAGGCACAGTAAAAATTAATTCAAAATTACTTGTACTTGAGATACTGATGGAAAAGCTGAAAACTAATTATGCAAATCAGAAAATTAAAATGAACAGAGTATAAAACTAATAAGGTCTGCTAAATGTAACAGACCATCTATGTACCAAGTTTCATTGAAATGTGATCAGAACCAAACAATTATGAATTATTATGCTAATTAGGGAATTTATATGAACAGATTTTAACCCAAAACTGATCATATTTGTACATTGTCCTAGAGCATCTATGTACAAAGTTACATTTAAATGTGATGATTAGTACTTGAGATATCAGTGTGAAAGTTGAAATTGTATTAATTATGCAAATTAGGTGATTAACATGCATAAATATATACCAACAAATAATTGGCTCTCTGCATAGTTTAGATTCATTTAAAGGGGATGATTAATACTCGAGATATCAGTGAAAAAGCTGAAAATTAAATAATTATGTAAATAAGTTAATTAATATGCACAATTATTTACCCCAAAACTAATAAGATCTCTGCATAGTCCTAGAGGATCTATATACCAAGTTTTATTGAAATGTCATGATTAGTACCTGAGATATATGCGAAAATCCGAAAATTAACTAATTATTCAAATTAGGTTATTAATATGCACAATTATTTAATCCAAAACAATCGACCTCTGCATAGTGCTTGAGTATCTATGTACTATGTTTCATTGAAATGTAATGCTTACTACTTGAAATATCAAAAGCTGACAATTAATTTATTATGCAAATTAGGTAATTATTATGTACTAAAAACTACTAGGTCTGTGCAGTGTTCTATGACATCTAGGTACCAAGTTTCATTGAAATGTGATGATTAATAGTTGAGATATCAGTGGAAAAGCAGAAATTTAACTAATCATTATGCAAATTAGGTAATTAATATTGCAGATTTTTACCACAAACTAATCAAAACCTGGCATTAGTTCAGAGCATTTATGAACAAAGTTTCATCAAAATCCAATGATTGGTTCTTTAGATATCAGCGGAACAGTTATATAACAGCTAAAAATTAGCTAAGTATCATGCAAATTAGGTAATTAATATGCACGGATTTTTACTAAAAACTAATCAAATCTGCGCACCAAGTTCCATCAAAAACCGATGTATGGTTCTTGAGATATCAGTGGAACAGACGGACGGACACGAACGAACACATACACACATACATAGAGACAGGGTAACTGCAAAGACTCCCACAAGGGAGTCAAAAAACTTGTGTTGCCCTCAAGTCGGAAAATTGAAAAATTGGGTCGGTCGGTCAGATTTTTTTTTTTTTTTAAACTTGTGAAAACTAAGGGTATTGTTAATAGCCGAGGTATATGGGAATCAGTTTCTAATAAATGGGTCTATTAAAAAAACCACGACCCGATATTTCATATTTTTTGGTCTTTTCACCACAAGACTTTCTTGCCAAATTATTCTGCACTTTTTTTCCTATATTCTTCAATATTTCTGGAAATTAACCCAACAGACAAAATTTGAGTCAATTTTCAGTTTTTACTAAAAAAAATCTGGCTATTTTTATTCCAATTTTTTAGAAGAAATTGCAGACTATAAACCATACTATTTTTAATCCCCTTTTGGACGAAGTCCGAAAACGGGGACTATTAATTTGGATTCGTTCCGTTCGTCCGTCCGTATGTTCGAAGCTATATCTCGGACACCCATTGACGAATTTCATTCAAACTTTACATAATGTCTTACATATGCGCTTCAAGTTACTTTATGATTGGAGAAAAATGGCAGACTGGATTTAAAATTTGCTATTTCTGATACCTAAATGTGTCCGCAGCAGTTTCTCAGAGATGACTGGGCAGATTTGGATCAAAGTTGGTATAATGATCATACATATTGGGTTGTAGGTGCACATTTTTTTTTCGTGATTCGAACAAATATGGCCAACTAGCGGTCATCTTGTTTTTCATGGTACCCATGCTACTTTCTCTTGAACGCAATGAACATTTCTATTTAAATTTTGTACAAAGATAGTATACCAAGAGATACATCTGCACCAACATGATTTTTGTGATTCAAATCACTATAGCTGGTGTAAAAGAACAAAATCATAACTACCGTACTCGACCGCATTAGCGCCCAGGGGCCTCAACTCAGAAAATCACGATATTTTAGGGGTGGGCGCTTACCCGAGCACCCCCCTCGAAAAAGAGTGCAAATGAAAAATTTGATTCATCAAGTAACAGATTACGTCTTTGAGGGAAATCAAATTACGAAATTATTTGAGTCGTCATTGATTTTCACAATGAAGAAACAGAAATGATCACAAAAAATATGCACATTTTATTACAATATTAATTACGTACCACCAGAATTTACGAAATTAAAAACATTTAAGTCTGTTGGAACACAGTCAAAGTCAAAATTGTCATATTATCTCCACTGACGAAGG